TTTTCAAACAGATGGAGCTTGCAGTAGCCCTTCTCTGCTGGCTACCCAGTCCCTGGTTTGCAATGCAAGTCTTCAACTTGTAAGCCCACTACATCTGCAAACAAGATTTGGCATGCCCTATGCTGGCAAAATATTTTTAAGACTTTTTTAAGATCAAATAATCCATCTCTCCATGCGATGTACATAACTTAAGCTCTAAGTCATCTGACTGGCCAAAAATCAACTGGACAGTGAAGGAGAGGGATTCTCTATCAGATATGCATGGGGTAGCAGTTCACGCTAACAATTGTGTAAGACATCGTAAACTTAAACATTTTATCTTGAGCCACATTATCTTGAGGGCTCATCCTTAATGACCTCCTTTGTATTCAGATAACCAGTGGCAAAATGGCATTCAAAATATTACTGAAACAGTAAATATTCTCTGTAGGCACCGCTGCTCTGTGCTGAGCTCTAATTTTGACACACTACCAGGTGAATACTACAAAAGTAAGTGGCGAGTGGGATGAGGTGTGGGAGTTTTGGGCATCGTGTTGAAGTTAGATTGCCTAAATTGGTTATTTAGTTCTAAGCAATGGACCTAGTAAACTGGGTTTATTTGCTGCTTAATGCGTATGGTTTCATGTATCACTCTCTGCTTTCAGTGCAGCAGATAAGATACCAACACAATTAAAAGTGAAAAATAATCTGTCTGCTCTGCCAGTGGTGGATGCTCAGAGAACACACGCTGATACAATAGATTTCTGAATAATTTATACTCAGCATTTTTCCCTTGCACTCGGTAAATGAGGACGCCTAATGTGGCATGGTCAGAGCGATACTCTATCTGTCATCCATTAAGATAACAAGATTGGTGGGCCTGGGAGGAGCATGGCATAGGATGCAGAAAAGATGAGATTAAAAATTGAAACGTTTGTCCAAAATGCTTTCTGTAAAGGATGCCAATAAAAGCAGCTCAGAAGGATGGAATTAATTCGTAAGTATGGTTTCTGCAAAGCTCTGTTTGTCTTTGCTAAAATAAAAGCACAAGATCCATGTTCCTTTCAAAAGTTGTGGATAAAAGGAGTATTAGAGCAAATCACTGTTCCTGATAGGTGTTCAGTAGCTTCCTTTACTTTAAATTCAAGTACTTTGTAGGTGCTAGCGAGAACAATTATGTATGACAGTAATGCTTTATGTCTCACAGAATGTGGTTTTTTATATTCATAAGGCATTTTAAATTACAAAGAAAGAATCTTTTGTGCTTGTTTTCAGCACAGGAGTGTCTCATCTCCCATCACAGGGTGTTAATTTGGACAGGATGCATAAAAATTGCTCATGTAAATATTCCACCAGATTCCTTTCGAGGTGAATGTATTACAGTAAGTAGTAGCTTGTTTTCCAAGAGCCAGTATGCGCTCGAAAGTTGATTAATTTATAAGCAGTGGAGGTTTGCTGTCTCTGTTTCTGACGACTTCTTAAGGTTGCATGCAGATTTTCTTGGTTTTTGAAGAAACTCTTGGGGTTGTGAGATCAGATGGAAGTCATTTGACACAAAGCAGTTGGAGGAAAACTTGGGCCTGCTTCTAACTTTGCTATTTTTAGTGAACAGGCCAGTGTATTACACTTGTGCTATCTGGAACCTCGCCTTGAAATGGTTTAAACGTGCTTTTTTGCTTAACTGGGCAGCAAGCGCGGGGTTTTTCTCTCACTCACTACAGGTAACTAAAGGTACCAAAGAGCTACAGGTAACCTAAGCAGGTGAGGTGCAAACCCCCGCAGAGGGATAGAGAGGATGCTGGCTGGTTTTTGAGCCCAGTGTCAGATTCAGGAGATGCGTCTGGGCATGACCCAGTGCCACCCAAAACTTGCGGCTGCACCGCGCCAGGCTTGCGGAGGCGGGTGGGGAAACTGAGCCCCAAGGGCTCCTCGCCCACTGCTGCTTGAACTCCTGTCACTCCCCCGCGATGGCTGTGGTGTGGGGTTTGTATGCAAAGAAATGAAATAATATTTATAATCTGGGCATTTTTCTTAGTGCTCGTCCAGAGGAAATTTTAATGATCAAGTCACTTTTCAGTGACGTATTGCTGAGGTTTTAAAACGAGCTTGCCACACATCGTAGTACAAATAGTATCTCAGTGTTGTCTTAGGGAAGAGTACTTGGGGAATGGGCCCTAACGTGCTGTTGAGAAACATGTCCTTAGCTTTGAGCAGGACCACATTATACCTTTTTTCACCTGAATATTTTACAGAAATAAGTTGGGTTTTTTTCTCTGTTTCTTGATTAACTCCAGGAAGAAAATCAATACAGGTGTTAAAAAGTAATTTGTAAAACAACAGTCTAAGCTTCCACAATTAACATCCTCACCTACATCTTTCACCCTGTGTAAGGCATTGCCTGGGGAGGTTAGGCTGTTGAAACTGTCTTTGACTTGGAGATCTGCTTTTCCTGAGTTTGTTCTTTTTAAGACTTTTATATTAGTTCATGAATGCTCTATTCTTGCTGTCTGCAGATCACCTTTTTCTTTTGGGCTGTGTGGTCAGCTTCGCATGCCGAGGACTGAGTCAGCCGCCTCTCCTGATGGGCTGTAATTAAACCCTAGGTTAAAAGGATGCAGAATTTGCATCTAAATATCAGAACTCATCCATCACTCGGAGCAGTTAGCTACTGGTTATGTTTTGGTGAGGCACAGGTATATTTGGAGGAGGCTGCTTCCTCTTTTCTGTGTACTGGGTGACACTTTTGAAGCTCATATTTTGTTTCATGTAGTGCCTGTGTCAGTAAACCAGAAGTGTCTGCTGCAGGGGAAGCTACCTGGTAATGGACGATAGGACGAGGGGAAATGGTCTGAAGTTGTACCAGGCCAAGTTTAGATTAGACATTAGGAAAAATTTCTTCACTGAAAGGGTTGTCAGGCACTGGAATGGGCTGCCCAGGGAAGTGGTTGAGTCCCCGTCCCTGGAGGTATTTAAAAGCTGGATAGTTGAGGTGCTTAGGGACATGGTTTAGTGGTGGGATGGCAGGGTTAGGTTAGCGGTTCGACTTGATGATCTTAAAGGTCTTTTCCAACCTAAACGATTCTATGATTCTACCAGTCGTGGCTTCCCCTACCTCTTTCCAACTAAAAGGTGGTGGCTAAATAAGCCGTATAAAGACCCTTGAACCAGCACAACTCACACTTGCCGTCTATTGAATTCAACCAAAATAGATGCTGTAGACTTCTTATAGTTCTGGTTGGCATCCTCAGCAATTACCGCAGATCCAGGCATTGCAATTAGGGGAATATCAAAGCAAGAAAGTAGTAAGTGAATATTACCATAAATTCTCTTCTCAGCAAGTAAACAAATGTACACATGCTTGCCATGCTTTCCATTGCAAATCCAAATTCCATCCGAAGTGTGGAATATAAAGGAGCAGTGTTATTGACAACAAAAAAGGTTTTAATTGCCTAAACAAATAGCTTTAAATTTTTCTGTGTCCAGTAGCTTAAGGAAGAGTTTTTATTTACCTCTTTGGTGGTAGTATTAAGAAGAGCTAACCTCAGGATGGGGCTTGCCTGTGCAAAAGCTATGGAAAACCATTGCCAGGGGTTACGTGATTAAGAAGGCATTTTTTAGTTCTGAGTGAATTTGAGGTATTTTCATAACATTAGCATCTATAGCATGTTGGGTGTGCAAGGAATTTATGACCAACCCTTACTGACTGTGCCTGCCCTACCGCTCCTTGATCATACGGCCAGAAACTCTCCCAGTTAACTCTGAACGATAGAGTTTTTGGCTTTTGAACTACTCGCATATCTCAATGAGTGTTTCTAGGAGAACCAATTTTATATCTTACCATGATTGCATCTCTAGACAAATGCGTTGTGGGCACAGAGCTATCGTCTGCGGCATCAAGTTTACCGCTTCCCTGTAGGGTGTAAACATGTGGCCGGTTGAAGAGTTTTAACCTCTCAAGCCCTCCGACAAATATTAAATTGCTAACTGTTCTTCCATAATGCTATGATGTTGACTGAAATTTGACCCTGGTGCTTGCTGAAACAATTTTCAAACTCTGAGTGAGAAGGTTAAATAGTGCTGTCAAATTTCCAAATGTCTGTTGCAGAAATACTTTCGTTGAATATTGTGGGTTGAACTCTAAAATGCTTGAAGTAATGCTCTTTTTTTTTTTTTCATTATTATATGATATTATCTAAAGCTTGGGGTTTAGTGCAGATAAATAAATTAACTTTTTTTTTTTGCCTTTTTTCATGCCAGCTCACCTTGCCATTTACAACTGGTTTTCTCTCTTTTACTTGCTGAATGAGGAATCTAGTCAAATGGTGTTCCTTAAGTACAAGCTAGGCCCCTACTTCTCTTTAATTTCTGTTCAAGATCATTGTAATTGCTTGATTATTTTCACAGCTGTATCTGAATAAGAAAAAAATGCTGTAATTGGCAACTCTTACAAGTTCGCAACTCAATAACTTGATTCTGGAACTCTTCCACCTGCAGAAGCCTCATTAATTTCTGTAGGAGTTCCAGCAGCTAAGAGACCTGGGTTTCAAATTATTTCTCTTTTTACGTGCAGCCTTCAAACTACAGAATCTCTGCAGTAACAAAAATAGCCGGGACCGTTAGGCTGAGAGAGGCTGTTGGTTGTTGGATGAGTGTTTGACTTCCAAGTGGATCTGTTAAGAAGGCTGTTGTTTACCCAACTCATTACTACATCCATAAGCCCAAATGATTTTTATTTGAGCTTTTTGGTAAAATCTAGGACTTCATTTCCTGAATGCTGTTACTAGTTCTAGCTTTGTTTATTTTGGCCTTAGGTTGCATTATTTAATTAGTTTTTATTTAAGAGACGAGTCTTATGTTGCAAGAAACAATACTAAATTACAATAAGATTGAGTCTTTAAAGATGCCATACTCCAGCCATAACTTCGAATTTATTTTGTTATTTTAAAGCAATGTTAGTGTCTGTCTCTAAGGGTTATGGGAAGCTCAAAAGTTTATTTGATTTCTTTTTTTCTTGATTTCAGGGCTTTTTCCGCAGGAGTATCCAGAAGAACATGGTTTACACATGTCACAGAGATAAAAACTGTGTTATCAATAAAGTTACCAGAAATCGCTGCCAGTACTGCAGACTACAGAAGTGCTTTGAAGTGGGAATGTCCAAAGAATGTAAGTTGTCTTCAGAAACAATGTATTTGTTGCATCCTATGTATAAGTGGCAGTTCCAAGGGAGAAAAATATTACGCAATTAGTGATTGAAGCTAGTATCTGTATTCATATGCAGAGAAAGGAGCATGGATTTCGCACCCAACTTCAGACCTCTACTTTACGAACTTCTGAGTCCTTAACTTTGCTGCCTAAATGCTGTCAGTTAGAACTTTGTGCAACACACCGCTTGTGCAAGCGGGTAATTTCACCATATTTTTTAAAAGAATGAACCCACAGCTACTTGCTTTAAGATTGAATTATCTCCCGTCTGCCCCAGAAATGGCTTCTTGGGGCAAGGGTGTAAGAGGAACAGCGCTGGCATCTTAAACTTGGTTTCAGTCGTCCTCCTGACCTGCAGACAGGCTCGTGGCTTTGCTGGGTTTGGTGTGAACCCAGGACCGCACTTCACAAGGGCTTCCTGCTGGTTCTTGTGCAGCAGGTAGCAGCCTTCTTCAGCCTTGCACTTTCTCCCTCGTGCCAGCGCAGGTGCTTGTGCCAGAGGTCCTTCTTTTGGTGGTGCCGCCAGGTTGTGCCATTTTACAAAGCTGATGGTACAGTGGCCTTGAGTCGTCTGTTCCTACCAGTTAGAGCCTCTCGGAAAGGTGAAACAAGCTGGCAAATCCTCTTCTAAACCTGCAAAGCCAGTAAACCTGACTACGTACAAATGCTGCTGAGTGCACGAAAAATGCAAAGGATTTTCCTCTCCCTTCTTTTCTAGAAATCTCTGGGTTTCCCTTTAAATTAACATTTTAAAATATTTAGGTAAAAATCTGTGTTTTTTCTCTATTTCCACTTTATTAATATCCCTGTCAAGCATGAAAATTTAGTTTAAAAAGCCATTCTGAAATCCCTATGGGGTAATCCTTCTGAAACTTTCTCATTTTTGATTGGAGTGATTACAGTAACAAAAAAAGTCTTTGGTGTAGTGATTTGTTTGATTGTTGAGGTTTGTACCTCTTTTGTACAGATTGTTGAGAGATTGTACCTCTGTCAGTGATGTTCCTGATTTCAGTAGGTCAATTCCAATAATAAACACCACAGAAATTTGAGAGGGAAGAGAGGTAAAAGAAATTGCCCAACACCCCTTCTTTACTTTAATTCACCCACAGGAGTTGCTTAGAGAGTCTTTCAGACCAGAGAAAAAAATTAACACTGATGAGATATCTGTGACTGAACTTCGATTTAGATTAGTTCTCATCCTCTGCATTTCACCTTCCCAAATTGCATGGGACATCCCAGTAGTTCCCTTCTCCGTACTTGGGCAGGAGCCAAAGAGGTCCCAAAGTCACACTGGTCCCTCCTGACTGCATCCCTTTTTTTCCTCTCCCACCCTCTCCTCCCTCTCTTCTCATAGGAGGGGTGTTGAGGAGCAGAGAAAGAACCAGATACATCTTTAGGACCATTTTGCAGTGTTTCCAACTCCTTTTCATGGAAATCTGAAATGGTGGTTATTGAAAAGGGCTGACATCAAGTTTCAAGCAGCTAGGGGAGCTAGGCGGTCTTAGGATTTCCATGATTCCACTGTCCTTGTTGGGTTTTGCAGTTTTCTTGTGTGCATGAAGGGCACTTGTCTATACTTATGTATGGGTTTACTGGAATGGAGACCTTGATGGGAGTAAAGGAAAAGGTAGGCTAAATACAAAGATGCACAAAGATGGAAGATTGAATGAGGAGGATTTTATTGATAGGTAGTTGACCACCTATATATGTGTGCACGTGAAGCTTTTTTCCTTGATAATAACAGTATGATGCAGTTTGGAAGAGAAGACAAAACATTTTTCTCACCTGAGGGCTTGTTGGTCTTGAATTCTTAAGGATTTTATTGCTGACGTGAAGTGGTAATCTTATTAAATGCTGTAGCGTCACATCAGAGTAAGTTTTGGAAATACCAGCAGTACTTCTAACGTGTTAACCAAAGTTACTTAGGGTAAAGTATAAAGACTTACTGCCTCTTAGGTGATGGTTTGTTTTTTTTTTTATCTCCCTGTTTTCCTTGGGTGAACTGAGTGAAATCGCCCTTTGGCAGTTGCCTTTATCTCAAACCACTACAGGCACTGAAAGGGGGATAGCAGGTTGGAGGGGGAACAGAGGATACAGAGAAGTGAGGGATGTCCTCTGGCTACATTTCTGTAGAAGGCATTTGTAAAGGAATAGAGAAATTATTTTAAATGTCATCAGTTTGAATGCAGCGTGTCTTGTCTTCTGGGCTTAAGAACTAAGTCTGAGGTGATTCCGTCTTATCCCTTCATAAACAGGAGCTTTTCATCTCTTAAGAGATTTGAAAAACTATTTTCTTACCTGACCTTCTTTCATACATGTCTCCAGGTTTCAATTCGATTTCTTTTACAGGTTTGTGTAAACAAAGGCATATTTGTCAGTGGGCTTTTTTTTAGCAGATAGAGGTTCTTCTTTTCCCCCAGTACCTTACTCACATTTTGTTTTTCTGCCTTCTTACAGTTCTGTTACCTTGTAACGTGAAAGCCGTGAACAAAGGACAGAAAAAAGTATCAGAGAAATCTCATAGGGAAACAAGCCTACAATGCTCAAACCAGTCCCAAAGGGGGGGCAGCTGCAAATAGGAATCCCAAGGTTTGTTGCCAGGAGCTAAGGAGGAGTAAAAGCAGAATTCCAGTATAGAGCATAATCTGTGCTTAAATGCTACAGTCCTATGTTTATTTGTTCTGCCTTTAAAGGGCATGCAAAAGTACTTGCATATGCGACTCCTTTTGAGCAAGCATTCCGCACAAGCATCAGAGATGAGAACTGGCTGCCCAGCCGGTGTGATAAGTAAGCTTTCAAAAATGGAGGTACAGCATTTTGGAAGAGAAGAGGTACTGAGCATTTCTTCTATGCCTTTATCTTGTTTTGGAGAATGAAGTGAGATGATGAAGGAATGCTCCAAATTTGCATTTCTTTATAGGTTGTTTTGTTCCTGTAGGGGAAAAAAGTTATCTTCGACCCCATGTTAGTCCCCAGATCTGATCAAAAGAGGTCAATAACAAGACTGCCTCCAGGGCAAGAGTGGAGCTATTTGCCTTGTGATAATATCTGCAGGACCCGCTGAAACTGGATCCCACTGGCGTAGGGACTGTCTTTCATTGTGCAGTGACTGTTGCAATAAGTTTGTGCTCCAAATAGACGAGACAAAGGGTGTGAGGGGAAACGGCTTAGTGGTGACTGTCTTATCATCCTACAGCAGGGCAAAACACAGCTTGAAATAAAGCCCTGCTGTCTTTCATCAGGTCCCACTCCTTCAGAAACTCCTGAGCTTGTGTCCCTGCAACCTGAGCTGCAGCTCTCAGTGCGACAGCCCAGAGCCAGCGCCTCCACCAGCAGGGCATCAGGTTTTGGCTTTATCTTACGGCTGTCCCACGTCACTTCATGCATTGGGTCCTCAGGTGTGGGTAGGTGCAGCTGAGGTTCTGATCCCCACTCCAAACCACTTCTATCCTTCTTACCCTTCCAGACTCTTAATTTTTTTAATTAACATGTAGAGACAAATGGTGATCACACAGGATTCTTGGGGTTTGGGTTTGTTGGGGTTTTTTTTGCTGCTGCTGAAGTGAGAGGGCTACTAAGGCCGACAGTGGCTCATTATGTGATGGAGAGCCTTAGGAAACTAACCTTTGCCCTTCTATTACGTGATCTCTAAGCTGATGTTGAGGCACCATCCTTGGCCTGACCCCAGGTGTCAGCAAGAAGCACACTGTTGCCTGGATGCACGGACCTCGGTCCTCGGGAGCTGGCAAGGGGTCAGGCGTATGGCACTGCCTCCCGCAATTAAGGGAGCACGCGGGAAGCTGGGCAAAGCTCTCAAGCAATAAAGGACTCTTTCAAGCAGGATGCTGGAACATAGGCTTTGTAAGGTGAAGCCTGCCCTTAAAGAAAATCTAAACTGGATTTATTGCAGGGTACAAGAGGGAAGAAAATGGAGCTTCCTTCTGCCACAACTGCTTAGCTTAGCCCAGCAGCTCCTCCACATCCATCCTCTTTTATAAAATTTGCAGACTGCAAGGACTGTCACTGTACTTGACAATCTTTGGGGTCCCCCTCAGACACACACCCAGCCCACGTACCAGGGTGTGACGCAGAGAAACCCTCCGTACTGGCATAAACCTCATCTGCAGTGAGCTCTAACAGAGCAAAATTATGTTTATAAAGGCACAGAATTCTTGTTCCAGGTTGCTTCAGTGCACTGAAGCAATGTTCAGATTTGTAAATCTGCTTACAATTAACGTCTCTGGAGGGAGGGAAGGAGGAAGGGAGGGCATGCAGGGGAATTACCATGAAGTGCAGAGAATTCAGTTTTTGTGCTATTTGATTTTTTTTTTAAACTTGCACAGAAATGTCTGTTACTCTTTGTCACAGACTTCAGAGTCTTATATTTAAATGTTCATGCTCCTCAGAACATATGATTACATTCTGCTACTAACAATAGAATGAATTTATTTTCTTATTTTAATTGTTTAAATCAGCAACCAGGAAACATCAGCTTGAAGAACTGACATGTTTGTAATTTTTATTTTATATTTCTGTTTCATTTTCTTTCAGACTCCTTAGAGAAGCGCGATTCCATCTCCAATGGGTAGATGAGTCTGCATAGTTGTGTTTGAGAAGTTCATGCAGATTCCACTGATGTAATTTTAAAGTGAATTAATTAGAATGCATGAAATCTTTGTTTAGATGCTTTTATTCAGAACTGAACTGGTTTTTTATTCTTTTTAGCCAGCAGAAAGCGCCGGATTTAAGAATTGTTTCTGCTTTGCTAGGGGCTAGATTTTTAACTAGATGCCTAACAACCACACAGTGGCTGGGGGCTTTTTCAAAAATTCCAGTGTAGTTGCCTTGCCTCGCTTTCTCGAGAGGCACAAGTTAAATATCAGAGTGGAAATCACAAACCCCTGAATTCTGTTCTGGGACTAATTCCTCTCTCTAAACACTACAAGCTGATTAGACTAGCT